TCGGAGCGAGTGACGCCGCGCGGATAAGCTAGTGGAACTCGATAAGTCAGTGAGTTGTGGGTATCGCCTCGTAGAGGGTCGACGCGTCGCCCTATCATGGACCCGGAGGTCGCTTCGCCCACCGCTTTGCCCACGGCGTTGCCCACGTTACCCATGGCGTTGCCCACTCAGCGAAAAAGGACATGTTCCGTCAATCTTCTTCTCCGAACTCTATTCCACTCGGCAACCCTCGCGCTATCCGTGTTCGTCTCTCTGTGGGGTATAGTGATGTGTCTGAACATTGACCTCAGCCAGCACACGGACCTCATTATTAGGGACCTCAAGTATCTCGCACCAGGATTTGGAACTAATTGGAATTATGTAAGTTTTTATACATAATATTTTATTTTGACCTACATTAAAAGAAAAACACATTACTTATTTTTAATCGGTTAATTATTAATTATTATAAAGTATGAAATAAAAATAATGATGCAGTTTGTTGAGTCTTCACTTTGTTTACTATGTACTATTTATTCCTCCACTTTTTATCAACATGAAGAGACGTTTTCTTAACTAACGCATATCATCCCTCATCCACCCTGTTGCGAACATATAGCTTAAGAAAAAATTAACGAAATTTTTATTTCGCGGACATTGAAACTTGAACCTGCAACTTACACTACTGAGCTATAGCGGCATTGTTATGCTTCTATAAAGTAAAAGTAAGTATAAGCAAGGGCCAAACAACTCTAGTGATATTGAAGTTAATTGATAAGATTTTAACTACGATATAATGCAATGTTAACCTCAAGTAAAACTGTTGAGTAATTAAAACTGTCCAAATTATAAACCGAGACCGCGATATCGTTTCAATTATTCTTTTATCAAGAAATAGGTTCTCAGGTTTCTGACAAGTTGTGAGATTAATTATTTATATTAATAGAAAGAAAAGAAAATTCAAGAAAGTAAAAAAATCGTTATATATTCTAAATTCATATAATTTAATTTGATATCCGTGGCCCCGAGTTTAACATTGTGATTGTGTCGGTGACCAAGAAATATGTATAATTATTATAATTTAAGAAAAAAAACATTTTTAAAAATGTTAATGTTAATGCACACGAGTTAATATATTATTATATTTTACTAAAGAATTAAAATATTCCATTTAAAATCCATCTAAAGATTTCCGGGCGTCTCATGTTTAAATTGGATGTGAGAAAAACGATTTTTATAAGAGATATCATACAAATGAAATGATGTATAAGAAGTAAAAGCAAAATAAATGCCCGATCTACGAAGTCAGTAGCAACGTTACGGTAGGGCGAGGTGCAGCAACCGCCCAGGGCGCCGGCCATAAGGGGCCGTAGGCGCCATGGTCGGGTATAAAGGGGCGCCTGTGGTGTCCCCTATCATACCCTAGAAGTACTAGTAGAAGATATAAGTCGAAGATATCCCTCGACACCAAAAAAGGGAGCGCCGCAATAATCTCGCCCAGGGCTGCGAAAATGATAAAACCAGCCCAGTACAAAGTGGCTTGTAATCCCTGGTCTCCATACTCTTACAACACTTAATATTACTAGGTACTTACTAGAGGATATTATTGCGTGACAAAGGAAAGATTAAAGTCTGCCATAGAACTGCTACAAGCGGTCGAAGTGCAATTTAAAAGAGTCTGCAAATTGCGGTTCGTATAGCGTGTGCGTATCTTCAAACCGTTTGATGCTGTGAAACAGTTCGTGTATGGCAGGTCTTTGTAATGATAACAAAGGCGGCTAAAAATCTTTTGTAATTTTATTGAACTGAAGATTAAAGTTAATTGTATGTTGTGATGCAAAAAATCTATAATGATTATTGTATAATACAAATTGTTGTGCATAATAAAACTGCAGAAATTAATTAGACAGCGCAATAATTACATGCAATTATATTGTAATATTTTATTTAAGTGTTTTTAGCCAAAGACAGCTGTTAACAGCCCATGAAGTTTTTAAACTCAAAAGGACGGAACAAACTGAATCATAAAACGTATTTTGATCTTTTACCTTTAGGTTAAATTGGTATTATATAATTGGATGTTACAAAATTCAATCTTTTCACATGTATTCTTTTTATAAAGTAAAAATACCAAGTTATGGTCAAAGAGCATAGATATAGAAATATAAAGGTTGGTTATATGTCACGTACGATGTCCATGTACATGATATTCATCTTGATAAACTTGTAGCAGAGATGTAGCAGATCACGTTCATGATTTAAAACTATTCCGTAGCTCTAGAATACGCGAATTTTATGTTACACTAGTTGTCAACCGCCACTTCGTGTGCGCGATATTAAAAAAAATCTTGATTAATAGCCTATGTGTTCTTGCAAACTATACTTTCTAACATTCTTCTATCTATATTGTTAGGAAGAAAATCCGACGCTGTGCCGGTGTACTGGCGCAACTAGCCTTACTATAATGTCGACGTTTATGTCCCCTCACTAATCAATCTGGCACTTGACTTGGTAACAAAAGCACGTCATTCGCGCTAAATGATTCTCACTAATAATGTCTAAAAATACAGCTTAACTTTTACATTTATAATTAGTAAGATTTAAAAGCGTTTATTTCCAGAATAAAAATATTTCCCCTGTGAAAATATAGTTCTGTACAATCGCGTCGTCAACAATTGTTAATACTATATAATAACAAAAAAACGTATAGTTATTTTACATCTGTAATAATTTTATCTTAAAATTTTCCACATACAAACAAGGAGCAGTTATTTTTGTATTTTATTAAATTTTTTGTTTATTTTGTTTGAGTAGGAATTAACTTTGTTTTTATATTGTTGTTTACATGTATAAAAGATATTATATTTTTTAAATTTATTTTTTTTAAATAATCTTAATTTCTGATAACTTTGGCCCGCGACTTTGTCTGGCCAGAATTATAATATAGGGGTGAAAATTATCTCATATCGCAAAAGATTATCGTAAGGGTGAATTAGAATAACATTGATAGTTTCATAATTATGTCTCTAGTTTAATTTCTTCTATTATTTATAAAGCACTAATTATGTAAGACAGAAGCAAATTTACAAGTTTATTAATGCCAAGAAAAAAGCTTTTAAAGTGAACACGTTTAATAAGTAATTTGAGACCTTGCAAGTGTTTTGTTTCGAATTTATCTGATTGAAAATTAGATTTTGCTAATTGATATATTTCGTTAGATCTTTAAAGAATAATTAATTGACATGAGAAAACTTCAAGTGTTACCAGTGTAATCTCTGGGTTTTACTGCTGTGTATGTACTTACAACTATATTATTTTAATTACATTAGTGTGTGTTAATTCAGCATTAAGTAAGGGCAGATTGGAAGGCTTCGGTCATTGCCTTTTTAATGTTTGTTGCCTACCGTAAAGTTATAATTATGTATATAGTATAAAAACCTTGTGTTTACAAAGACTTGACTTCTTTCTATTTGGAAAGTACATGATTATATTTAATATTACATTAACATAAATTATGTGAATGGACATCATCATGTAAATTATTTTATCTACTCTGTGACTTTTGACATAATTTTTCAATTAAAATTGTTACTGTGATAATAATTTTGATGTGCATTAAATATTTATAAAATACAAGAAATGAAAATCTTTTATTGTTTTTTTATTACATAAATGCAACGACATCTAGGCCTGTTTTTTATTCCGGGTTAAGAACATATGTTAATAATAAGACTGGTTTATTTTATACTGTTGATATTTTTTTGTTTTGATTTGTGTATTTAGTTGTCTGTGGGTTATTATCCTAGTTTGGACATCAGCCAGCTCATAGGAGTAGACACAATATTATTTGTTAATTTAATGGTTGGACGGCTATCTCCTTTGTCTTTGACAGTATGTTACGCTAGATTATTAAAAAAAAAACTATTATTATGAACGTAAAATATTTTTACTTTGAAAGCGCCATCTTTTGGATAAACGCAGAACGCACAGAAGGTGGTACGAAAACAAAATTTTACGTCTTTAATACAGTGGAACATAGATGGCGTGTAAAATTACTGTGTAAATTAAAAAAACGAGAACACAAAAGCTTAAAAAATTAACAATTCTTTTGGATTCTCATCGTCGCAATAACTGTTTTTATCTGTTTTATATAATCATCTACTATAGATTGACCGCCTATAATGCGTACTTTAAAGTTGATCCACCAGAGGGTGAAATCAAGATAAAAATCGGCATTTACTTACATAATTATGTTTAAAAGTATGTATACTAAGAATTAAAAATGATCAAACAGATTTTATATAAACATTTATTAGTAACTTACCGCCGTTTGTTGATTTTAAAATATTTTATGTTAAGTATGTTATACAATGTTACATACAACCTTTACCTTAGTCAATACTTTATCAATAAAATTATACGTAAGATCTTGATGTAAATATAAATCAGTAAGTGAAACATTTATTTCCAGTGTAATACAGAAGTGCGATGACGTCATTATGTTATTAATAATACCGGCTGCTTTCTGCGTTACTAAACCTGTTATTTTTTTAATAAAACTTGTAGGAACTTCATGTGAAAGACACAAAGAAAAAGGTTATTTTCCAAAAGTGCAAGACGTAATAACTATTGTATAGATTCTTTTAAATTAAGGACATCAATAACTTTTTGTACACTGAAATTAAGCAATGAATTCAAAAAATCAAGGTAAGATAATGTCCTGTACGAAGATATGCATACAAATATCATACGAAACAATGCAGACAGATCACAAGGGATTGTGATTTGAATCCAGGACACCATACTTATCTAGGCAGTATAACAGGCAAGTTACTTAAAAAAAAGTATCGCTGTAATAAAAAAATAAATGCGTTAAACATAAAAGTGGCAATTTTTACTGCATTAAAATTATATGCAAAATATACTTCCTACATTAATTTAATTGATGTTTGAATATTTTTTTGGCGAGGCCTTAGACCAAGGAGGTTTAATGCCTCGTGTTTACTCGACACCCTGAAACGTTCGGCCACAATCCAATCCACACAACAGGTTCACCTCGCTGCAATAGCACGTATTTTTAACAACATTGTAGCATATTATACGCAAACATTTAAAAAAAAAATATTTCCTTTTAATTCATCATTTTGGCTGTACAAAAGTTTGGCTTTTGCCTCATCGTGTTTACTTCAAGATGGAGGTCGAACAGAACGTGGAGCAGGCGGGAATTTTCAAAAAGAGTTTTTCTGTGAATTTACTGTTAAGAACAATATTCCATAGTATTAATTGGGTTTTATTTTGTGTGGTTGGTGTTTGGGGTGTTGTTATGTGTTTCACAATTGAACAAGAGAAAATGACTGACCCTTTATTGAGGGATCTGAAGTATTTGGCGGTATTTTTCTTGACCAACTGGAATTTTGTAAGTGTTTTATCCATTATTATAAAATAGTTAGTGATGTTAATGTTTTAAATGTCTGTAGATATAATGCGATATACATTATAATTTAATAAACTTGCAAAAAACTGATTGCTTGTCGACTTGCATATTAAAAATGGTTAACAAATTGACTTTGTATTCGATAAATCTTGATTAAAATCGATTTTAGATATGCTTAATTAACTTCTTTAATCGTGTTATTCAATCTGTTAATATTATGACGTATTCTTTGAACGATGACACTTCAAAATATAGGCATATAACATACTATAGTTCTTATTTGGTTCGTGAAGGTTTAATGAAATTACCATTTTAATGTCAAGATCACGGTTTTTCCGCCGACATTCTATATTTTTTCTTGTATAATTTCCATGGAAATTATACAAGAAAAAATCTAATTCACATTAAACATAATAATTTAAGAAATGGGTACTTACTTAACATGTTACTTAACTGATTATGACCATTATATAACAGGGTCGTTTACTATGAATTCATTGGCCTTAAGTGATTAGTGCATAATTCCATAGCCAGGTCGTATGACCTTCGAGAGACGTACAGGTTTGGCGAGCAACAGCTAGGGCTGCCAATTTCACTAAACTTGCCCCGTTGTCAAAAGTACAGTGATTTTTATCATTGAATTAAAAAAAACGTCCCTCATTGCATCCTTAAGATATGACGAACGAGATTTACCTTGTTTCTAAGTACTTTAAATTAAAAATCTATTGAAATATGACCATGGGAACCTGAAAAATTGTGGCCAAACGCGAAGTGGGCAGCCCTATCTAACGCGGGATGTCCGATGTCCGAGGCGAGGGATCAATACGCCAGGGCTCGGATCGAGATAAACAAATGCTTTGATAGCGTACTAAAGCGATTATAATATGATTAACATAACATGAGACAATGTTGCCAGTCGTTAGCACTAATGTACCCTACAAAGGAAAATTATAAATGCGACAAAAACCTAGGAAGTCCAGTTTCGCAAGATGCACTATTCTATTGTATTCTATATTAAATTGTTATGTTGCCAGTTACGAAAGAAATCACAATCTGAAGGAAGGACATTTTATCATGTACTAAGAAAAGCAATGGTTCTCAAACTTTATTTCAACTTGATAATATTGTAAAGTTATAAATGTAAAACATCGAATGTTCTAGAAGATCTGCAAGTTTCTTGTCAACCTTCGTAGAAAAAGAATGCTTTATCCTACATTATTTGGAATAGCTACTGAATATATCCTTGACCAAAGTTGTTCCAAAACATTAGCATATGTGAAATATAGTTAACAAAAATTTCAAGGATATTTATAACGTTAATTTAACGTATAATATGTATTCATAACTAAATGCGAGCAAATACAACATTTTTAATAAAACCGTTTACAGATGTGCTCAAAAAGTTTAATTTGTGGACGCATTAACTGTGCGATGTGTGAAGCATTTTCAACTTTATTGTGTTCACAATTAGTCTCATATTAGCATTAACTTAAAACTAGATGGTCTTTTTATAACCTGATAGGTTAACGAACGCCGTTACCACTGTATTGCTTGAAAATATCATTAAATATGCAAAATTAACATACGAACATCATCATATTTTTCTTGTAATTTTTTTTATTATTTTGCCACGTAAAAAAATTTTGTATTCAAATTGGATAGGTTGGACTTAAACTTGATAAGTTTATACCGCTCAGCCGTATACTTAGGTGTTGGTGCAGTTACGTACCGCTTACTTAATATTGTGGCTTGAAGCCTTCTAAATCCTCTCATCCGATGTACACAAGAAGCCTTTTAAATCAATGAACTACGTGTATACCTTAGATAGCAAATATTCAAGGAACCTAAAATAAGCCTTCAATTAGTGTATACAAGACTATAAAAGTTTTATTCATTTATCAGGATAAGACTAGGACTGCCTATACATAAGAAACGACATATAACGATTTGTTTTTTACTACTGACAAACTTGTAGAAGAAAAAGCATTGTAAAAATTCAAAGGTGGCAACCCTAGGTACTCCAAACTTGTATTAGTGGAATTAACTCATCTATTATCGATCGACCTTTTAATCGGTCGAGTAAATACACAAATGCTTTTAATGTTTTTAGCTGAAGTGGGTCAATTCCTCCACAAAACTTCAATATACTCGTAGACAACTATTGATTGGAAATTAGAATCGATTTTTAATCTATAAAGTGAAAATTGATATAATAATGTTACTGTATATGACACAACTATGTTGTTACTTATAATCTACTTCAGTATTTTATGACACAGCGTGTAGAAACACTAAATATATTACACTATTTAATTTTTCAGTCAATAAACTTTACATTTTCGTGATAACAATGTTATAGCATTAAACTACGTGTCATATGCTCTTTTTTATTTATTTAGTTTTTTATTTAGTAGCGGTTGCACGGATGAAGGGAAAAACCAGTTTTTATTACATTTGTTTTCAGTTATGATAAACTAAATATTAAACTCAACAAATCGAATCCGGGAGATTCATCATCATCATCAGCTCACTATACGTCCCCACCGAGGGGCTCGGAGCCTACCCTAAGTTAAGGGTGATTAGGCCATAGTCAACCACGCTGGCAAAGTGCGGGTTGGTTGACTTCACACATATCTTTGAATTTCTTCTCAGATATGTGTAGGTTGCATCACGATGTTTTCCTTCACCGTAAGATCCGGGAGATTATTGATGCGCATATAATTTACTCATTTTTTTTTGGCTTTACGTTCTTTATCATTCAACAATCCCCGTAATCGAGCATTGTAAAAAATATTTTTTACAATATCTTACTTTTAACATTATAAAATTATAATTTTTATGATTATATAATTATATAAGGAAAAAAAGATATGCGATTAAATTATAAATAAGTTGAGGATGTAATTAAAAAACTGAAGAGAAGATTGTAATAAAAATTATAAATAAATCTCCTTTAGTTATTACATTTGGTGATAATATTAAGAATAATATAATGTCTTCCTACATGATGTCTAGAAATATTAAAAACGCACAGTACATTTATAAAGATGAAGAAAGATGGCTATTTAGTCAGTAAGACAGTAGGTAAACGCCAGCCAGCACGCAACTACGCATGATGAGTGTCCATCCGCTTAATTTTAGTCCTCATTCTCTTCCCACTCTTATCTTATAAGGGTAGGATGGGAAGGGAAAGCGTATCTGACGGAGCAGTAGACGCGTAGGAAGAGGAAAATATTATTTATCTGTTGCTAGGAAGGAACTCCTCTGTCGATTAAATTTAGGCAAACGCATCTGTAATTGATTTATTTTCTGAGAATTGTTGATACTCAGTAGTGTTGTTTGTTGGCAATTGTTTTGTGTTACTAAACGTATTCGTAACAAGGACTGAGACTAAGAGGTACGAGCACCGACTTACAATAATGTTAGGTAATTGATTACACGCAGGCAGATGTTAAGAAAACCTTGACACAAAACGACAATAATACTTAAATATTGTATCACACTGAATATTTGCAAACACTTGTCCTCTTCTGAGAGGTCTCTGATGGTCTCTGGACCATTCAAAATATATTAATCATTACATTTATTTTAATATACGATTTTTATGTGATCTAACACAATATCTCTAAGTCACCATCGAGAACTTTAAAGATTATTTCTTTAGCGTAGATTTCTCACAGTAAATAACTATCGGGACATGGTTACTAAGGGCTAAGCTTGTCCTTATACATGAGTAGTAATACTTTATTATTACTCATCTGAGCGTTTCTGTACGAAGTATGGAATTTTTTGTAACATGTAAAAACAAAATGTACAGTGCCGCTTCGATGATGTAGATAATTTTCCGAGCTAGGTCACTTCGTAGTTCTCAACACGCTATGTTTACATTTTATATTATGCCTTTGTGAAGGCTGCGCGCAAAAATGTACATTTTAATTGAAACGAAGACTATTATAGTTGGTGTTATGGAAAAATACATTTCATAAAAATGGCTTTTAACTAATAAACTGACAAACAACTAAAGATGGTAATAGACAAAAAGGTGTTAAATTTCTGTCTGATTGTTATTGTATTCATTGTTAATTTAAGCTGAGTCATCTATTCCTGCTAGACCACTCAACAACACCCAAGTATTGTACTGTTCGTAAGAAAAGTGAGCTTTTAACAGTCAACCCGCGGTCGAAAAGTTGGTGGTAAGAGCCACGTTTCTTACGAACAGTATAATAGTAAAACAACGAAGATTTAAAGTTAAAAACCCAAGTATATTTATGTTGATAAAAATTTCCATACAAAAAGCGTTTAAAAAATTATTTGTAAATATGTTTTGTCACAATACACGATTGGAAATGTGTTATATAATGAATAATTGTCATAACATTATGTCAGGTTGTTTTTACTTGCGACGTCCTTGACAAATTAACAGTTCACCAAAGTACGCGAGTCCAATATTGCAGAAGTAATATTGCATATGCGGCTGTAATAAGTTCACAAACAATATTGTTTTGCTTGTTTTTTTCTCGTGTATTAAAACTTTGCTACCTTATATCATTTATAGTGGGCTTCCACTGCCGAACGATTCGTAAAAAAACATTTTGTTTTATCATTTTAAAAAATAAAATAATGACGTTACGTTTTTGTCTGAGAGCCGCGGTAGAGAAACACCATTGTTCTATATGACAATGCTCATAATGATATTATCTGAACTTTTAGTTTTTCCATAAAAATCTCGCGCCTAGAATAATAAAATTATAAATTGTTTTTCCAATAAAGTTGTAATTTTTTTAGTGCTTACAATAACAGAAATTTAAAAAACAACAAATTAGTGTTGCAAATGGAATTTTCCATATTTAAAAATTAAACAAAACGTTGTTCCATTGTAATTTTATAGAAAACTAGCTTCCACCCGCGTCTTTCAGCTGCGTGGAAATAAAAAACTTAATTAGTAGCCTATATGTTCTCGATTATGTTCTACATCTATATGC